TGAATTTCATCTTTTTTTTGTAGAAGAAAGCATTTGTGCCATTTTTCTTTTTGAAACATTTAGCTCGTGGCCATGTTTTTCTTGTTTAAATTAAAAGGAAGTCTTTCACATCCTTCAAACTCGTTGTGCTGTTTACAACCTTTTACTGCTCATTGTTCTAGTTAGCTTTTTTCAGCTTCTTTGTGCTAATTTCAGCTTTCTTCAGCTTCTTTCAGCTTGTTTCAGCTTTTTGTGGTCCTTTCAGCTTCTTTCTGTTAATTTATGATTATTTTTTTTACCTTTTTCAGCTACTTTCCCCTCATTTAAGCTTAATTTCTGCTCATTTCAGTTTCTTTTTGGCTAACTTCAGAGTTGACGTAACGTATTCAGTCTCTTTCTGCCTCTTTCAGATTATTCAGCTCATTTCTGCTCTGTTCAGCCTTTTCTACACATTTCTGTTGTTTTTTCTACTGCTTTGTGCTTTTATTTTTCTGCTTTCAGAAAAGTGTTCAAAATCAACTTTCAGCAACAGTTTGTGGTGCAACTCTTCCAGACTGGTTTAAACTCTTTCAGCAGCTTTCAGCAAAAATCATTCGACAATAAGCATTCGTGCAGCATTTTCATAGAAAATGCATTTTTTTTAATTAAAGTGTTGTCTGATCATTTAAACATGCTGTACTTTCAACAAAATAAAACACATTTGTTAAAAAAAAAAAAATCAATTAGCTGTAATTAAAACTGTATGTGTTTTTTTTTTTTTTTTCTTGTTCATCATCTTTATTGGGGCGCAGCACGTTGTCTGCACAGAATCAACTTTTATCCAACAATAATTTATGTCACACAAAGTTTTTACGCATTTGTGCCAAGACATTTAGAGCTCTGCATACATGTTTTACTACACTCGACGTAATAAAACATAAATCAAACAAGTAAAACGACCTGCGACCTGCAATGATGGCTACAGTCTTCTTTTCCTTCCAACAGACCGGTGTCGCAATAAACATTTTTAAACTTGTGTGTTCAGAGAAAGTGAAGCCAGCTGGCATGTTTACAACTTTACGGTCGCTCATAAAAGCAAAGAGCAGTTTTAATGGATGAACGCACATCATCTGAGTTTTAACTACGATCATCTTACAATAAAAAATGGCAGATATGGCTGTTCTGATCAAACCTTGAAAAAGGAAATTCACAACTAAATGCAGGAGCTCATGCAATGATCTTACATGATCCTTTAGTGCTCAGGGTATGTGCTGTGAAAGACTCTCAGCTACTACCACACTTGATTTTAGTCAAAAATCTGTAAATCTGACAGATGATTAGCCATTTTTTTTTGTAGGCTACGGTTAAGTAGCAGTGGCTGCAATCTTGAGTTTGGTTCACTCCAAATGTATTTCACTCTGAGCGATTCATTGAATGTTTTATAAGATATTTTGCTAACAGGGTTGACTCCAAAAGCTAACACTTTAAGCAACAACGGTGTGCATAGTGTTGATTTCAAAGCATTTATTGGGCACGATGTTCAGCTACATAATTGAAGCAAATAAATAAAATAGGCATTGTAGCTATTTTTGCATTAGCTATCACTTTGCTATGGCAGCCATCTTGAATCAGGTTGACTCCTGTAGATGTACGTCCGGTGATTAATTTCTGAAGCTTCCATTGAAATGTGTTCAGTAAACGATCAGATATTTTGCTAACGCTACGCACAATCAAACCTACGCAAACAAAATCATTAACTCTCCGCTTCTGCCTTTGGGAGCAGTCAATAAAAATAGAATTTTAAATTTATTTGTATCCAGTATAAATAAGTAGAAGCAGAAATAGTCACAGTTTCATCTCACGTTTAATTTGAACTATATACCGTATTTTCCGGCGTATAAGTCGTAGTTTTTTGCATAGATTTGTCAGTCCTGCAGCTTATACGCCGAAGCGACTTGTATACATTTTTTTTTTCATATTAATAACACAATTTTCGACTGACAATTTAAACTTTGAAGAAGTGCAACAGCGAGTCCTCCAGTTTCACTCAGCTGGTGCAGGTGGAGAAATGCTGGGGGGCTCACGATGGATGGATGGCGTTGCATCGCCCAGGCGGAATGAAGCTGTGTTGACCATTAAATAAACGTATAATAAATGCATCTTATACGCCAAAGTGCCTTATATGTGTTTTTTTTCCTCTTCATAATGCTTTTTTTGACTAAAGCGACTCATACGCCAGAAAATACAACTATTGTAAGCTTCTATAAAGCTCTAATACTTGGTACTGAACACAATATATGCAGAGATAAAAACAACAACGGCCTTAAACTTTAACCGCAGCGTAGCAAACACATCCACTGACAGTTTGCGCTTCACTGATATGACTCGGAGCTCGCCTCTCATCTTTTGTTAAATGGATCATTTTCATTCTTGTCGACAGACAGCCTTTTTTTTTTTTTTCAATGGCAGGTTGATGCAATTAGTTAAAGTGGTTGGATACAAAGCGAGCTTTTCTCTGAGCTCTGACTACTCTCTATCTAACCTTTCCTGCACTTAAAAAAAAAAAAATATAAATATAAATAATATATATATATATTATATATATATATATATATATCCTCTTCTGTGCAGAGAGTTCAGTTTAGGAGAAGCTGCTTCTGATTGAATCAGGCTAAAAAAATGTATGTTCCAGCGTGAACACGACGGCGTCAAATCGTGGCAGTGATTGGAGCTGAAGAGACTGACGGAGAACATCGATCAGACCTGGATCAAGTCTGTAACAGAAAATATTTTAAGTAAGAAGAGGAGAAGAAAAGGCGAATCATTTGTCGCTTTCAATTCCTTTTGATCCGCTCAGGTCTTGGCACCGTGATGACCCAACTCTCCTCACCCTCTTCATCTTCATCAGCGTTCCAACTGCTGATGCACAATGCAGCCTCTTGGGTTGAAGTGCGCCCGAAAGACGAACTCAGCTGAAGTTAAGTACAGAGCAGAAATGTCCGTCTCCGCTCGCGCTCTAGCTTTAATCACAAGAACGCAGCAGCGAGAGCCTTAATGGGATTCACCGCGAGGGTCGGCTGTTGCTCTGTGAATGACAATGCTGCTGCCGGCTTACGAGAAACGCTGCTGACGGTCAGGTAGCAGCGGAGCAGCAGCCGTGCATGCAGAGCAGGGAGCTTCGGCTTTGATCTGCGGGATTGTAATGTGGTCGAAGGTAATGATGTCAGATTGAGCGACGAGCCGCTGTTTGTCAACAGGAGTCAGTCCAGTGTCAAAAACAAGAACAAAAAAACAAAAAGTTCTTGCAGCCGACTTTCAGCTCGTTAGCAAAGAGGTCAAACTGAGGCAATAAAGTTCAGGGCTACTCTATTGCCTGTGGTACAGGAGAAGTGTTTTATGTGTGTTATAAAGAATGAAATTATTAGCATTGTGTGAAGGAATGCAGACAGACAAGCAAAAACATGATCACTCCTAAAGCTTTGGAGGAGGGTGATAGTAAAAACCTTGAGTCTTGGGTTCACATCGTTTGCAATTAAATAAAGTCTAAGTAAATACGTGAATTTCATGTATGGTTTTCAGCTTAAAATCATCGGATTTGATCTTTTCAACTACCGTAATTTCCAGATTATAAACTTCTACTTTTTTCACACGCTTTGAACTGGGGTTGAACGACTACATGTTTTTTTTTTTTTAAGTTGACATGAACATAATAAGAGTCGACTCGATGACGTCATAGGAATTCAAGAAGCTAAAAAAAAAAGAAGCTAAAATCGTCATTTATTAGTTAAAAAAAATAATAAAATTAAAAAAACAACAAAGCATCGGGAGCATATTTTTATGCTCCTTCTATTTATCATACTGCAAATAAGTCACAGGAAAAACAAGAATATTATTAAGCTGCATAAGTTAGTTTTATTTTATTTAATCCACTAAATAAAATAAACCGCAACGGTGGTGGTGGATTCTCCGCTGGTGGTGGTGCGCGGTGCTGGATTCTCTGGTGGAGCGCACCCTGTTTTTATTTTTATTTTATTTAGTGGGTTAAATCAAATGAAACTAAAAACATCATCTTTAGTGAAACCCTTCCACACTGTTGTTGAATCTACATGTTTGGGATGACTTGGCCTGCTCCTCGCCTTCCATCTGCTTGGAAGAATCCGTTTTGTAGCCAGCGGCCCGGCGCTGATCACGTGACACAGTCACTGACTGCAACTAGTTGAAGTGAAATTTTAAAACTCGTGAGAACGTCCTGGAATCGTCTAGTCAACTGGTTTATTGAACTCCTCCTACTTTGAACCCCACGGGTTATACAGTACAACGCTGTGGCAAATTCATGGATTTATTTATTGACGGACTAACGAGCTCCGTGTCACCAAAACATTTAAGCCTCGTCACACCCGGGCTCTCACATATCTGACCAATAGACATCTCTCTTGGGGGGTGAGTCCTCATGACTCAATAAGACTACCTGTATAAATAAAGGTAAAAATAAAATAAAATCTGACTAGTGAAATTACCAAACAGGTCACAGCAGACCAACGAAACTCGGTTCCCCCCCTCCCCGTTGTGCCCCTAGTGTGGGGGGAAACCCTCCCTGAAACTCAGAAAAGAAAACAATTACTGTATGTTTTGTGCATGTTACTGGTACGTATTTAATTAAAAGTTTAACAAATATTTGTGTAAATATCTCACGTTACAACGTGGACCCCCGCAGCTTATAGACGAGTGAGGCCTATACATAAAAAATCTGTTTTTTCTTTTTAAATTTAGTGGGCGTGACTTATCAGGTGCGTTCAATAGTGCAGAAATTATGATACTTTATAAAAAGTATAGTGTGTGGTTGTTTTAAGGGGTTGCTTTAAGCAACTTTGACACTGATGTTATTTGTTTTTTTAATACTTAAAAGACTCATTTGCTCTCGAGACCTCGCCATAATTCACACGTTTTGTCAAAGAAAGAGTGTTCCAGTAGCTGCTGCTCCACCATCAGCTCTGAAATGTTAATTATGTCAAACAAAGAAAAGAAAAGTTTCATGTTTTTACCGTAAGCAGAGTCAACTGCGGAGTCCTGGTTCCGTGTAGTCGCCAGCACATCAGCTGCACAAAAAGACAGGAAAACCAATCAAACTCCTCAGTAACGCAACACACACAACAGCTTTACGTCAATATTTTCCATCCTATTCGTCAATACATCGCTTGCATCATGGGGTGTGTTTAATTCAATTCAGTTCAATTCAATTCAGTTTATTTATATAGCGCCAAATCCCAACAGAAGTCGTCTCAGGGCGCCGAACAAGAAATACAAACTATTCATTGGTATGCATTTGTAACTACTCATTTGATGAAACGCGGTCAATTTGTCCTCCAGGAGTCTAAGGTTATAGCAGCATAGGATAAGGAAAGAAGAAAAAAGAAGGATAAGGAAAACCGGTAGGTCAGGAAACCAAGATGACTATAGGATTTATCAAAAATGGAAAGTCTTGAGTCCAGTTTTAAAACTGGACAATGTGTCAGCCTCACGGACAGAAACTGGAAGTTGGTTCCACAAGAGAGGAGCCTGATAACTGAAAGGTCTTCCTCCCATTCTGCTTTTGGAAACTCTAGGAATCGCAAGTAAGCCTGAGAGCAAAGTGCTCTGTTAGGAAAATATGGAACAATAAGATCTGTGGTATAAGATGGAGCTAGGTTGTTGAGAGCTTTGTAGGTTAGAAGTAAAAATTTTGAATTAAATTCTGGATTTGACAGAGAGCCAGTGGAGAGAAGCTAAAACTGGAGAAATATGATCTCTCCTACTAACTCCCATTACTTTTCATTCAACCTTTATTTAAACAGGTTAGTTCCCATCGAGTCTTGAGGACTCATTTAGGTACAAGAGAGACCTGTTTCAGACTCTGACAGCAGCATTTTAGATCAACTAAAGATTTTTTAAAGAAGTTTATGGACACCCAGTTAACAAACCATTGCAATAGTCCAGTCTAGACGTGACAAATGCATGGACCAGTTTTTCGGTATCATTATTTTATATGTTGTTTAAATTTGAGTGATATTACGCAGGTTGAAGAAGGCGGTTCTAGTAACTTTTTTAATGTGGGGGATAAAATACATGTCCTGATCAAAAATAACACCAAAGGTCAGATAATCGGTGTTTAGCTCATCAGAATTGTCCCATTCATGATTCTAGTATTGTTGGTAAGACTTGGCCCAAATACGATCACCCGGTTAGACATTATGCACATCCTAGGACTGCGAGAGGAAACGTGGGCACCTGGAGAGATCTCACCAGGCACATGGGGACCAGAGGGGGGGTGTTATGTGGCCTGTGACTGGTTTAACAGCAGCTATTCTCATCACACTTTCTCCAATTATACCAGGATTCCCTTGCTGTCTGGAAAGAGTTGTTGCCTTAGAGACCAGAATATGGGACTATAAACCTGTATGCCACTAACAGCACAGCTTCTATTAAAGCCTATACACAATCTAACTCTGTCCTTTGTACAGACAATTCCCTGTGCAAGCTTTAAGTTCAGTATATATTAAGCTTCCTGCACACAGGGAGGAGAAAAATAATAGAATGCAGAAATAGAGACTTATTTTTGGAGAGATAGGGGGAAAAAAATGGAGAACAGTCTGGATGCTGTGGAAGAGCTGAATATATCTGGTCATTTAACTGAGAGATACCTGCAGATCTGCACTACTCTGGTGTGTTTGTGCCTTCAGGTGTTAAATCCCTGAGGAGGACCTGGAGAAATAGGTGGCAAGTTATCAGGATCATGATGCTACTTTTCTTAGATTGCTGCCTCTGAGCCCTAATTCCAAACAGATAATGACAATTATATCGAAAGTGTGGAGAGGGAAACCCAACAATTTGTTCTATGGTGTAACAGATTTTGTTTTGTTTTGTTTTTGTGCAGAGTACAGTCATTTTTTCCCCCAATAGCACAGTATTTTTCTCAAAAACAGGAATGTTCAGAACCAAACGGCCAAGTTTCCATGACTAAAACTTACAAACCGCTTGTGCAAGATGGTAATGTCTAAATAAACACACACCAGTTTGTATATTTTTATTCAATCCACAAACGTCTGCAACATTTTTTTTTGTCTTAAATTTTCACCTTTACTGGCATTCTTTTAAGACTGTAAAGGACAGAGTCGACTTACGGTGGCAGCTGTTGGCGTAAAACAGATGGTCACCTTCGATGTCCTGCTCGAACCCTGCCCTGCAGAGACAAGAGAAAGTAGAACTTAAAACCAAAAAATAATACATTTTTAACAAGGGATGTACTTGTGCAATTAAGTCTCAAAAGAATAAACCATCCAAATAATTATTGTTGAGTTGAAAACTGAATTTGTCTGTTGAGAAATAACACTGGAGACGTCCTCATCACCTTAAATTGTCACCCGCTTCGAATGTTATCAGCCATTAAATGTCCGTTATTAGTTATCAACCCCATAGGTTGCGTTCAGACTGCCCCTCCTGTACCTCCTACAAGGTTAAAAGGTGCGTTCTTGTCGCTGATTATTGGGTCAGGTGGTTAGATTAAGAGTCAACAGTCTGGGGGTTAGGTTTAGGGTTAGGTTAGATTAAGGCTCAAGGGTAAGGGGGTTAAGTTTAGGGTCAGTGCTCTGGGTCAGGTGTAAGGTTAGGTTTAGGAAAGGGGTTAAATAAAGGTAACAAAAAAAAATCTGGTTTTAGATGCGAGCAAAGCTGCATATTCTCAGCAATAAGAACATACCTTAAACCTACAGAGGTATTCAATTAAAACTCACTGAGGTCCAGTTACTAAAATGTTCTCCTAGTAAAAGGTCCAGACAAAAGTCCAACTTTTGTCTTATGGTCTTGCCTACCCGTATTCACATTTTCACAATTAACAAACTGCACTTTATAGTAAAAAACTAGCTCCATAATCAAAAGTAGTCCCAAGCAAAAAAACAAAACAAAAAAAGGCCTTTATTTCAGGTTAAAACCGAAAGCTCAGAATAAAATACATCTTAAAAATGCAAACAAAGCCTAAGTAGAGCCTGAAGTAGAGTGAACCTTCAAAACACACCTCCTGCTTCTCTGCTTGGCTCAGCACCTAAGCTCTCCGACGCTGGGAAAATGCTCCATGAAAATTATCTATTTTCATGAATTTATCAGATTGGGCACGGGTCCAGACAGAACCATCACTAGGTCCGGATCCGGACCCAGGTCCGCCTATTAGTGACCTAGGTACTAGGAGGTAGGAGGGACAGTCTGAACTCAACCTATGGGGATGATAACAACTGATAATGGTCACTTAATGGGCTGATGACACCAAAAACCCATTCTGTTTGAGTTGAGACGAAAGGAGTTGATTCAAACTAGAGGAAATTTAGTGACAACAAATCAGACAATACTCTTCAGTGAGAGTCCTCAACCCAGCTCTCCAAGCAATTTTATTTCTGTGTTCATATATATATATATATATATATATATATATATATATATATATATATATTTCATGAGTCAGACCATCCAATAAACAGGTCAGAGCTCATCTACAGTGTCAACATTTATATTATCATCATAATTGTATTTTATCTGTAACTTCACATTATTGTAGCTTTTAACCAATGGGGTCTTTAAGATGATTTGATGACCAGTGGTAAAATAGTTTTATTTAAACCATTTAAAAAGCGATTAAAAGGAGGACACACAAAAAAAAAATAAAAACATTTATTTTTTTTACTTACTATATATTTTTTGCCTGTTAGAATATTTAAAGATTGGGGGGGGGAGTGAAAAACATGCAATATTATTTATTAAATTTTAAAAAGTAAACCTGATTAGGATTGTCCCTTAATCAGTTTAATTTTCTTTTATTTGGCCCCTGGTAAAAATGAGTTGCACTCCCTTGAAAGATCACAGCTTTATCAAGGTCAAGGTTTCTTTACCGTCTTTCGTACCACACGTGGTACATGCGGTGGAACAAAATTGTGTACACAGGGTCCCAGTTACATCCCAGTGTAAATTATAAATAGATATGAACTAAGAACGTGCTAAACTCTAACAGTGCAAAAACAATACGCCGAACAGCAGCAGCACGAACACGAGTCTGTGTGAGCAGATGAGTACGAATGAACGCAGCAGCATGAAATAAATCAGCAGCATGAGATCAGCAGCATTACTGAAAAGGTTGTTCGTTAAAGTATCGTTCTAAGATCTGAAAAAGACTCAGGAGAAACCTGACAGGCGAGGTACAAGTCACATGAGTTTGTGGCAAAATCTTAAAATACATATAAAATCATCCCATTCATTTGAAGTGACTCGTTAAACCCCAGTTGTTAACTGGTCAACTAAACAAGCTTGGTGGTTTATTTGTCGGCTGCTTTGAGATTCCTGGAAATTTCCGCCACAATGAACATCCACAAAAAAAAAAAAAAACGATAAAAACAGCTCAAAAGGTTTAATTAGCTTTTGTCAGATTGTTCATTCCATCATTTCCTTTAAAGGCCAAACTATTCAAAGGTCAACTGAGGAAAAGCTGCAAACTTAGTCACCTTCTTTCTGTCCTCCAATTAAGTGGAAAAAAGGTGAAACGTGTCCAAGCAGGAGACAGACTGTGACAGGAGGTGAGCATGAAAAACACTTGCACACCCTGTCAGCAGCAGGAAAGTGAAGCCGTTTACCCTCTCCTGAGTGCGTCAGGATTAAGTCCCTGTTGTTTACTGGCTCTGCCATTGTCACCACCAACGTTTCCATCTGACCTTCAAATCAAATTTAAAAGGGGGCACAAATCAGGATTTTGCAGCCACGCCGTGCCAAAACGACTGCTGAGAAACAGCAGCGTTCCAGATGAGGAGGCTTACTTTGTTCTGCCTGCTCACCTGCTCGAGGTGAGAGAAATCATTTCAGTGTTTAAGAGTAGAAGATAAAATTCTGTAAACGCTTTAGTGACCGTTTTATTCCAGTGAATGACGACAAACAGGTTTTGTTCATGAAGTTGTTTTAATTAGGTCAGTTTAAAATCCCCAATGCTCCAAAAACGTTACCAAACCAATTTTATTAAAATTACAATTTTATAATGTATTACAATTTTATAATTTATTACAATTTTATTAAAATCAAAAAATGTAAATAGGAAGCCTTAATGAAACTTAATGTGGAAGACATAATTAGAGCATTAGTTAGCTAAAACGTGAAATACATAAGCATAAACAGCAAGTGAGTGAGCGAGAGAGAAAGAGAGTGAGAGTGAGAGAGAGCAAGCGAGTGAGGGAGAGCATGAAAGAGAAAGAGAGAGAGAGCAAGAGAGAGAGAAAGCAAGTGAGCAAGCAAGAAAGAGCGAGCAAACGAGGGCGAGGAGTGCGAGGGTGAGAGAGAGAGAGCAAGTGAGTGAGATTGAGTGAAAAAGAGAGCAATGAGAGCACAAAAGAGAGAGCTAGAGAGAAAGAGATAGAGAGCAAGCAAGCAAGGGTGAGAGAGAGAGAGCCAGCGAGTGAGATCGAGTGAAAAAGAGAGCAATGAGAGCGCAAAAGAGAGAGCTAGAGAGAAAGATATAGAGAGCAAGCAAGCGAGGGAGAGAGTGAGAGCAAGAGTGAGATATTTCTTCAGGTTTACAGTTTGTTCAAACAAATTATTTAAAAAAAAATCAGGACAGGATTTTTAAAAGCTGAAATCAGGAGATAATTTTGTGTTTGAAATGTTTGTTACGTAAAGGTACTGGTTTCTTAAAAAAAAAAAAAAAAAAAAAAAGACAAAAAAATTATTGGACCAATATAAACAACAAAAGAAAATGAATATTTCTTCGTTATAAAATGGTTAAGTACCAATTATTTGGGCCACATTAGTAAGAATCGAGTGGATTTTCTTGCTTTTAAACTGCTTTAATCTTTATGATTTAAAGTTGTTTTATATCTTTTTGATCCTTAAGATAAAAACAGAACTACTGGAAACCAGTTCATTTGTACCTTTACAGAAGTTTAGTGGGCAGACTTTCATTAAAAAAAGTGATTGGGATAAAAAAGAAAACAGGCACATGCATTCATGTTAATCTAAAGAATTAAAAATGTAGTAATACATATACTTGAGGTATATATATACACAATATTCACGAGTTCCTCATCTTTCTGACTGTGTAATGTCGTGCCTTGAATTTAACAGAAATGTAACGCGAGACGTTATTTATCTTTGACCCATCAAAATGAATGTGGTCAATTATTTTCAGAATCAAAGTTTAACATCAAACATTTACATTAATTTGGCAAAATATGAAAATAATAACAGACAAGTTTCACAGAAAAGGGACATCGATCACTCGGCGGTGATCAAGGACTTTGCTTCAGATATTCCTAAGATATCTGTACTGATTTTATGAGAAAGAGGAGAGTTTTAAGATGAAATGGAGTTATCTTACAGAGAAATATGTGAGGGAATTAATCTGTTTGACCAGAAATTGCACGCTCCATCAGATCTCAGCTTGCCCACGGTACACTTGGTCGAAAATAGAACCATCTACCTTGATGATGAAATCAGCGTCGGCGTAGGTTCCTTTCTGACTCTTTTCAGCGTCTCCGTGAGAACTACCAAACCCTCAGAGAGTCGTACGTGGTTTTCAAACAGAAATTATAATCCCAAAACGTCTCTGGATCATCCTGAATGCGTTTGCACCCAAGAACTCTGAACTCCTTTCATTCTTCAGAACTTCTCAGACTCTTAATTGTCTTTCAACTCCAGCAACTCTCTAGTTCTTCATCTCCTCAGCCTCTGGAATTCTCCTGAATTCTCCCGAATTCTCCCGAATTCTCACATGAACTGGGAAGTTGCCACATTTTAAATGGGTCGACTTCCGGTTCATTTGAGAGCTTTTGATTGGTCGATGGACCAGGAATAGAGGTGTGGTGTATGATGTAAGATGTTATTAAAAATCAAGGATTGTTTAGTAACGAACAGAAAGATTATTGTAGGACTTCAGACTTCGTGGAGTCTTACACTTGGTAATCTTCTGAAAAAGTTTAAACATGACATCTTTCTTGGTAAACATTTTAGTTGACCGAAAACCGACCTTTAACACACTTACATTGCTTGGCTCATTTCAGACAGAAAATCAAGAAATGCATATTAACCTGATTTCTTCTTTAAATGAGGAATAAAAATCATTACTTACTGTTTATGTAAAAATAAAAATGAGTAGTTCTCTTCAACCTGTAACTTTGAGTGAACTAACACAATTTTGATTATCAAACATTTGTAAAACAG